AGGCATTTTCTTCTGTTACAATTCTATGCTTCGCAACTGGGGTCTGTCGAATTCTTGACGACGATGAGAAGCTGCCCCTGAATTGCAGAAGCAGTGTTTTGAGCTGGTCTTGCTTGTGCTTCAGAAGGTTCGGGCTGACGTCGTAACCGGGTTGGGAACATCGATTCATTAAAGCAGGTTCGGAAGTATCAGAGAGCGCGAAAGAACTACTGGCGTTGACGAATTCTTCCATTTAGGCAACTGTTGTAACATTGTTGAGGTGCCTGTGCTTTGTGTTTCTTCGTGCTCTTAAACCACAGTTATCTATGACTGTATTCATGGCTGAAATTTTTCACCATTACCTTCGCTTTCTCGAGACTCAGCTCGGCGATGCCTCTTGCAACGCAAATCTGATGGCTAAGGAGCAGGCGCTTATTGCTCTAAATGATACCATCGAAATCTGTGGGTGTTATGGCACCGACGGAAACGATGACGCTTGAGCAAGGCGGAATCGTGATTTGGTCTTCCAGCACACCCTATTGCAAAAAAAAAATTACGGCATATTCAAGAGGTGAATGATGATGAATGGGCGAAGCTCCGGAGGGATCCATCGGTAAACTGTGAATCTTCCGTGTAATTCGCCCAGTCGATCATCATGTAAAGACGTGAGAAACGCTGTGTGTGTATATACACAAATCAACTTTTATTTGTTCTTAGACGATGGATGGCTTGCGATGTCCCTTGCCTCGCGCGCTCGCACATCGGGATTCTGTCTGCGAGCGCGCGCTGCTGCCGCCTTGCGCTCTCTCCGCTGTGCAGCCTTATCCATCCGGCGACTCCGAGCGCGCGCCAACAGCGAACGGATTTTATTACAACGCTCCCCCTAGCGTACGTCGCCGCACTAAATCGAACGATTGCCTTCAACCAATGACACGCGCCATATGTGACATCATTCCTATTTTATAAGATCTCGCGTCTTTCATCAACTACAAGTACCGCTTTCTAGTTCATAACATCTTGCATCTTTTCATCATCAGCTACAAGTACCACCATCTAGTAAACACAACAAGAACTAAACGAGAGGTGGCTACATACAGGAGACGGTACCACCATCTAGTGAACACTGCAAGAACTAAACTAGAGGTGGCTACATACAGGGGACGGTACCACCATCTAGTGAACACTGCAAGAACTAAACTAGAGGTGGCTACATACAGGCTACAGGGGACGCACAGCCCACGCCCTAAGGAGCTTCGCCCCTAAAAACAGCATCCCCAGCATGATGCCAGCAGGTTATTTAGCACTGGTACACACTGGCATTTACTGGTACTTCGCTAAGCGCACTGGGAATTAGCTGTGTCGCACTGGCAGGGGTGCTGGCTTAACCTCTGTGATGCTGGTGCACACTGGAAAATGCTGGAAATGCTGGGACTTTCACTGGAAAATGCTGATACATACCAGAGCACGCCCTGTTTCTACCACGTAGAATGCGTTTCTAGCGTTTCTAACGCAGCGTGCAAATTTATGTAGCAAGTGCCGTGGTATGTTTCGGTGTCGCTGAATATAAAACGTGTGATTCGATGGCACGGATAGATGTTACCCTAACAGATGCCGAGCATACGCAAGTTTATCGGTGCATGTACATATTGCAGCAATTATTGCACGTTTTTCGCATGCCCTCCCATATACGATATTCACAACAGTCGTGTATTGCTGTAACGATTCCATGCTGCAGTGTTTATAAGCCTGGAGCAGGCCGCCACTTCTAATAGAAACAGAAAATCATTTACGTCGCCAACATGACGAAATGTAAGAGCTCTCTTGATCCCTTCGCAAGGTTTCAAAGAAGAGGCGAGAGAAACAGTTATAGTTCGATTCCGCCACACCGTAAATGGATGTCTCGTCATGCTTATCCTTCTACTTAATTCAGGTAACAGTTAGAAATGTTCGGAAGCTCAAATGAAGAAACCTCAACCATCCCGACTGACCGTGTCAATAACGGTCTAACCCAGTGCACCGTCCCAGTGAGCATGAGGCTTATTTTAGCTTTCCGTATTTCTGAATTTAGAATGTTTCTGTATTTCTTATATTCAGATAAGGCACCTGTGTTCCGCGAATGGATGAAATCGTGGCACAACCTATTCTTTGCTTAAATGTGCCGGTAAAGATAATTTCTCCAAGGCTTTCTACATCTTTTGTTTTTATGATGTGAGCACTAATGAAATGGAAATGCTGCATCATAACTAGTACTCAACAGACACAGGAATGTGTTATAAGCACTATTAGGGTTGTCATGCCAATACACAGTGTTGCAGTCAATGTTCTGACCTAGATGAACAAAATGTTCCCGACTTTTCCCGTTTTCAAGTCGATGAAAGGATACCTCCATTTTGAGACAAATTTGAGAAGTTGTGCAAGGAAGAAGATAAGAATATGATCACTTATGTCATACGAAAATAGGGCAGCTTTTATATGATTCCAACTTAAGTTTAAGCACATATGTCAAGGAGCACGGCACTTTAGCTGGTAACCTTATTAAATTTTCACTTCCGTATGCGAGTAAGAGTGTTCCAAAATCTTTGGCATAGGGATCACTGGAACAGAGGTCAATATTTATATCACCCATCATTATGCAAGGAGTATTCCAGTGAACATTTCATGATAACACAATGTAAGGAAACTGAATAAATTTCTTTTTGTAGCCATGTGGTGGTCTATATACACCAATTATTGAAAATTGACCAACACAGATAGTCATGCATTCAACGTCATAGTTCATGACACTATATTATTCCAGCAGTTCACTTGAAAGCGGATCCTTAAAATAAATAGCAAGGCCTCCACCTTTTTGCTGATTACAACAGAGGAGTTAACTCGAGCGCGAAAACTTGACACGATCACTCACACACGCACACCCATGCATCAAACACACAGCGCTCACTTCCAACTGATTTATTCATAGCTCGAAGGCTTCAATATATACAGGACACATTGTGCGCACACACACCAAAGAAGGCCAACAGCATACATTATCAAAACGTATAGCTAATCAATATCATAGCCTTAGAGCGATAAACTGAAGTTCGCTTGGTAATAACGAAACTGAAGGGGCGCTTACACAGTGATCTTTATTTTTCAATGAAAAAGGCCTCTAACACTTCACGTGCAGTTTTACTTGCGCTTCTGCCCAGAATCTTCGTCTCGGAGAATCGTGCATCACAACCACACGAGATGACATGCGCAACCAGGTACGCATACTTGTCATCTCTTTTCGTTAATTTTTGGGCGTGTTCCCTTAATCGGTCATTAATACACCGTTCGGTTTAGCCAATGTTCACTTTTCCACAGGATAAGGGTATGGAGTACACAACCCCTATGGAACACTTAACAGACGCCCTCTCATGTTTCTTCCGACAGCCGCGCTTCTTTCTATCGCACACACGTTGGCACAGTCTTCCAATTTTTTCTGGTGCGGAAAACACCATCGGTACGCCGTGCCTCGCCGCGACTTTCTTAAGGTTGTGCGAGACCTTATGGATATATGGCACAACTTGTGGCCTAATCCTTAAGGGCTGGGTAGCAGTCATCGCTTCTCGTGTTCCACGTTTGCATGGTTGATCGTGTTCCGGTTGATGCATGGGTGTGTGCGTGTGTGAGTGATCGTGTCAAGTTTTCGCGCTCGAATTAACTTTTTGAAATGCTCTACCAACTAGCCCAACAACCAGTTCTCTTACAACAGAGGAGTTCATGATGATAGCCTGGATAGAACAGCGCATCTCTTTTACAAGTAACCCATGTCTCAGAGAAAACTAGCACATCAAATACAATAGACATAGAATATAAAAAAGCAGTGATGTCATAAACCTCTGCAGAAAAAAAGTTTTTCTAAAGTGAAATGCACTATTTAATCCTTCGACATCGCAATATTCTCTGCTATTAACTAGATCAGCCTTTGTAAAATGCTTTTTGGTTTGTTTTGCCACAATCTATGCCTAATTTCTGACTTTAATCAGGTTTGCCTCATCTGCAATGTTAATTCCTTGTGATCCTTCATCTTTAGGTACTAGTACTTTGCCACCGGATGTCTAGACAAATTTCTAGGTGGCTTCTTTCTTTTTTTTTGTATTTTTGCTTCAAGCAAAGCCTTGCCCTTTGGCGTCAAAAGCTCATTTACAAAAATGAGTGTTTTCTTTTCATCCCCAAGCACCAAACTATGTAGCCTTTTCTTTCTACACTTTGCAAGAAGTTGAAAGCCCTTTCTTCTGCCATCACCTTGACTCGTCAGGATGGCTTCCCTTTGCCGCCGGGCTGTTGTAAGGAACAAAAAAAGAACAATACGCTGCAGTGGGTCATTTCTTTAGCTAGAAGCACCGAGCGCAAGCTGCTGAACCCACGCTGTGATTCTTGTGTCCGTTGTCGCGTCTACTTTTAGTGTCGATAGACTTTCTGCGTACTGCTATTTATGCCAATAAATCCCATTTCAGAGGCAATATTTGCAGTTGATGTTTTGTAAATGATTATGTCTCTAGGTATATCCCGCTCATTATCTCGTCTTTCGAATTAGGTGTCAGTGCTCCTTTCGAAAAGTAGGCACGATTCCACTTAATGCCTTGGCTATTCACAATTCTGCTACAGTTGAAAACACGCCTGTATACTAGCCACTTTCTGCTATATCTGCTCCGAGGATAAACAACTCCTAGTAATGAAGCGCTTCCGTAGTTACGACCCTGTTACTACATTTAGTCAACTCTTAGTAGCTGCACCAAATGCAATAGCTCACAATGGGCGGGATAAGAGGTGGCGTTAAGATAAAGTTTTCTTGCACAGCTGCACAAGTTAAAAGTGTATTAGTACTCTTCCATTTACTTGTTACATGGTACTTTGTCAGCAGGCCAATATGCTCTTTTTTTTTTTTGTAGATGTTCAGACTATTTCAGCAAAAAGAAAATAAATAAATATGTAAAAAATAAACAAAGTAAACACAAAAAGTAAATGTGGCACTGCCTCTAGATTCTACGTACCATAATCAAATGGCTTCAGGTATCCCGCGTTGAAATCCGGTTGCTTTTCACCTGCAACAGTAGCAGAATAAAGAATGCCCACCATTAAAAGAGCACATACGGGCCAAGAAAATGGTTGCAATATAAGGTACTCCAATAGCAGTTCAATCTCATGGCAGCTGAGAAAGCAGCCATGAAATAAATACTTAAGAAAGCATTTTAACTAAATTGATAAATTGTCGTCAGACAGCAAAAGCTCTGCCAGATTTCCAATAAAGTTCTTACCAACCAACCAAGCAAAAGAGTTTACAGGTGAGCTAGTTGGTTGGACATGCACTTGGAAAAGCAAATATAATCAAAGCAAAAAAGTATGTTAATCACGCTTACGTGGTGGAGCAGACAACGATGCCAGACTTAATACAAATTACATTTCCAAAGTCCGCGGAATCACCATGTACGATAAATCGATCTAAGCTAACTTTTGTCATACATTAAATATACCTTGTGGTCTATAGTTAATCCGCATGAAATGCAGCCACACACACAATCGATGTTCTACGATGTTGGCAATGAAAAACATATGATTGTTGTTTCAATGTGCGTGTTGGCAGTAGCAGATACATATACCCGCATTCAACCTGCAGAGGAGAGCTCGCACAGCCAGAGAGGAAGACGAAGCTCTTGCCCGGTCCTCTTTACGAGCACCTTTCATTTTTAATTAAAGTGAGCTCTTCTATATCGAACTCCTGCTGTGTCTGCGTCGTGACACTGGTAGAGGAGCTGGGTACATGTCCAGGACACCTTCCAACAGCCCGGGATCTAGTCCACAAAAACTTCCGCTCGTCGAAACACCCGTTCACCGCGCCAGCCGCCGCCTGTTAGGCCTGAGCCTCGAGTTCGGTCCTTGGACGGAAAACATGACCGCGCCGGGAAGCAGTTGCCCCACCATGACGAGCCCAAGCACGACACAGGTGACCCCTAAAACTCCTGTGGACTTCCATGGCAACACATATGAGGACGCAGATGACTGGCTTGAGGAGTTCGAGCGCACAGCCAACGTTAACGGGTGGAACGCCGCACAGAAGTTGGGGTACGTGTATTTTCCTCTTCAAGACGGGGCTCGCACGTGGTTCACGAATCGCGTGTGGTCAACGTGGGACGAGTTCCGGCGGAAGTTCCTGGACACCTTCGCAAACACCGAAAGGCGGGAGCATGCACAACGACTCCTTGAATCACAGATTCAAAAGCCCAACGAGTCTGTTGCTATGTTTGTTGAGGACATGGCTCGTCTCTTTCATCGAGCCCATCCCGATATGTCCAAGAACAGAAAGATCAGCCACCTCATGCGTGGTGTTAAAGAGAAGCTGTTTGCTGGTCTCGTATGGAACCCACCTTCAAGCATCGACGAATTTTCGAAGGAGGCGACCGCCATAGAACGCGCACTACAGCTACGGTACCGCCAGTACGACCGTCCAAACAACAGCGGACAAATCAGCGCAACCGCCATGACCACTGTGACTCCTGACGAGCGTTCTTTGCGTGACCTGATACGCGAAATTGTGCAAGAAGAGGTGAAGAAGCTCGCCGCCACACCGAATGACTGCGCGATTGCGTCGGTCACAGAAGTTGTTCGCCAAGAAATAAGGCAAGCGCTTTCACTTCCCGAGCCGAACACTGAAATAGTTAGGCCAACATATGCAGATATTCTCCGTCGACAGCTTAGATCTAACGTGCCGCCACCTCAACAGTACCACCAGCAACAGCCGCCGACAGTGCCTTGATACTACAGGGAAACGTCGACGCCGATGCGACCCCCACTCCGCAAAACCGACATATGGCATACCCCTGACTACAGGCCCCTGTGGTTCCATTGTGGGGAAGCAGGCCACATTGTGCGGTATTGTCGTCATCGCGTTGCCGGGTATCAAGGCTTTCCGTCCACTACCCCTCGGCGCTATTTCGACAGAAGACGCAACGTTGAAACGAGCGCGACGATCCCGCGAGACGTTTCTCCTGGGTTCCGGTCATGCTCGCCCTCCCCAGGTCATTTTCTCCGATCTAATAGGGGTAGCACCACGGACATGGCGAGAGGAAGGTCTCCCAGTCCACGCCGGGGAAACTAAAAGCAGCGACCTTAGGGGGGAAGGTTGCGAATTGCCGAAGATTTGAAAATCCCCCATTACCACCGCATGAAGTGTCGCACATTTCGAATGAACCGACGAAAGACGAGATTGTCACCGCCGACATTACACTTTCAATTGACGGTCACGACGTGACCGCACTGGTCGACACTGGTGCGGACTTTTCAATAATGAGTGCGAATCTGACCGACCAACTCAAGAAGGTAAAAATGGAATGGACGGGGCCGCAAATTAGAGGAGCCGGAGGCCAGCTGCTGACACCTACCGGAAAGTGCACCGCACGAATCAAGATCGGGGATTCATCATTCGTGGCAACCTTCGTTATTTTTTCTGAGTGTTGTAAAAAGGCCATCTTGGGTATGGATTTCCTGCGGGAGTACGGTGCCATTATAAATATACTGGACGGTGTACTGACCTTCTCTGCGGACCATAGCGCAGCGCTGCAGCGCAAGCCCATGCGCGTGCTTGACGACGTGACCATGCCACCGTTGTCATGCCGCCTCGTCTCTGTCACGTGTAACACGCAGCATAGTGGAGAAGGTGTCGCGGAACAAATATCGACACTTTTACTCTCTCGAGGAATCGCTATTGCCACAAGTCTCGTCAGTGTAGTGTCTGGGCAAGCACAGGTCCTGTTGACAAACTTCAGCAACGAGCGTCGACACATTGCAGAGGGTACCACAGTTGCATACTTCGAAGAAATTGTAGAATTCCGCGAGTGCTTCGCAGTTCAACAGGCAGAGACGCCGGCCGCTTCAACACCACTGCCTGTCGGCGTGAGCACAGATTTATCGCCAGCGCAGAGGCAGAGTCTTCTAGATATTCTCGGCCAGTTTGAAGATTGTTTTTCGTCGACCTCGAGGGTAAATCAAACGCCACTGACAAAGCACCGAATTATAACGGAAGAGACGGCAAGACCAATTCGACAAAACCCATACCGCGTGGCACCGAAAGAACGCGAAGCAATCCAAGAACAAGTCCAGAAAATGCTCAATGATGACATCATTCAGCCGTCAAAAAGCCCTTGGGCATCACCGGTAGTGCTAGTTAAGAAGAAAGACGGCAGCTTACGCTTCTGTGTGGACTACCGCAAGCTGAACCGCGTGACAAAGAAAGACGTATATCCACTACCGCGTATTGACGATTCACTTGACAGGCTGAGGCATGCACGCTTCTTCTCGTCTATGGACCTGAAAAGCGGTTATTGGCAAATCGAGGTCGATGAGCGGGACAGAGAAAAGACTGCTTTTGTTACGCCTGACGGGCTTTACGAGTTTAAAGTCTTGCCCTTAGGATTGTGTTCAGCCCCAGCAACATTTCAGAGACTGATGGATACCGTCCTATCAGGCCTTAAGTGGCAGACGTGTCTGGTATACCTCGACGACGTCATTGTTTTCTCACCCACATTCGAGAAACATCTAAGATGGCTGCTATTGGTATTTCGAGCAATACGGTCCGCTGGCTTATCGCTGAAACCTGAGAAATGTCATTTCGGTTTCAAGGAACTCCGATTCTTAGGACATGTGGTGAGCCATGAAGGTGTTCGTCCGGACCCCGACAAGATTGACACCGTCCGAAAATTTCCGGTGCCAACAGAAAAGAAGGCCGTAAGATGTTTTCTTGGCCTTTGCGTCTACTACCGCAGATTTATCGCCAATTTCTCGCACATAGCGTCGCCCTTAACACGCATAACGAGAGACGATGTTCCATTTTTATGGGGCGAAGAGGAACAAGCAGCATTTGACGCTCTACCACAGCGCCTGCCGACACCCCCTGTGCTTGCTCACTTTGACGACGACGCTCCAACCATGATCCACACTGATGCCAGCAACGTAAGTTTAGGCGCTGTACTCGTCCAGTGGCAAGACTCAGCCGAGAGAGTGATTGCATATGCAAGTAGGGCGCTTTCCCGTGCCGAGTCCCATTATTCCACAACGGAAAAGGAATGTCTTGCTGTAGTATGGGCAGTTCTGAAGTTTCGCCCATACCTCTACGGCCGTCCCTTCCACGTAGTCAGCGACCACCACTCTCTTTGCTGGCTGACCAACTTGAAGGACCCATTCGGTCGGCTAGCGCGCTGGAGCTTACGCCTACAAGAATTCGATATGACGGTCGTCTATAAGTCGGGACGACAGCACTCTGACGCTGATTGCTTATCCAGGTCGCCTATAAAGCAAGATGATGTCTCAGAAGATGATGACATGGTATTTTTAGGAGTGGTCGACACGGTCACCATTTCGTCTAAGCAGAAAGAAGACAGTGAGTTGCTCCCTCTTATTAATTTTCTTAACGGCCAGTCTACAAGCGTTCCCAAGATATTTGCAAGGAGCCTGCCATCATTCTGCTTGTGCAGTGGTGTCCTATACAAGAAGAACTTTGCCCCCAGCGGAAATGCCCACTTACTTGTCGTCCCGACATCCATTAGCGATGAGATCCTGAGCGCTTGTCACAATGAGCCAACCTCCGGCCACCTCGGATACACGCGCACATTGGCCAGAATCCAACAAAAGTACTACTGGCCGAAGCTTCCAGGCACTGTAAAGCATTACGTCCGCACGTGCCTCGATTGTCAACGACGAAAATCGCCACCTTTAAAACCAGCCGCATTGTTGCAACCAGTTCAAGTGCCCACCATGCCTTTTGCACAAATCGGAATGGATCTCCTTGGACCATTTCCGACTACGCATACTGGAAATAAGTGGGTAATTGTCGCTACGGACTATCTTACTCGCTACGCAGAAACAAAGGCTTTATCAAGTGGAACCGCAGTAGAAGCGGCACGATTTTTCATTGAAATATCGTTCTGAGGCATGGTGCTCCTAGAATTATAATAACAGACAGAGGTACCGCTTTCACGGCCATGCTCCTCAAGTCAGTGCTTGAGTTGAGTGGAACAGCGCATCGAAAAACTACCTCCTACCACCAACAAAC